GTTTTCTCCAACTTCCAGTGTCCATCCCATTTGTCTTTCTAAGTGAGGATTGATCATCTTACCCTGGGTCCTCTTAGCGTTCATATTTTGAAGGGTAAAATCTTTTAAAATATCTGTGTTAGGTATATAGCAAAAGAAAAAATAATTTCACCTTGTATTTATGTGAACAAAGCTTATGAAAGAAAAAGAGTGGAATGTAAATAAGGGATGCTTAGAACAGGAACATTTTCAGAATCTGCATCAAAACTTCTGTATGTTATTTTGGCCACATGTGAAGTGTGGCATCAATGTGCCATGGCTGGGCTGAGGTCTGGTTCAGACTTCTAGCCTGCCTTGATGTCGTAAAGCCAACTTCAACAGCACCTTGGAACAGTTCTGAGTAAGTTACTAAGTCAGGCCTCTTCTGAACCTTCGCTCTTAATATTCTTTTGTTCTTATTCCTTTACAAATAGCCTGTTCTGTCCTGGGATATGTCTTTAGGCTCTATATTCTCCTCATTGTCTCTGATGTAGCATATTCCTGCATCTTTCATTGCCTTTGTTTTCTGCATCTTTTTTCTTACATTTGCTTATAAAAATTTCTTCATGAAGCATGTTCCTGTTTGGACATTGATCTTCTCTTTAAGTCCCCAACTCTTTTCTGTGGCTGAGAGTTGTGTGGTTGGTGCCAAGTTGCTTTTTTTTTTTTTTCATATCATCCTTTATTAACATTGTCTGTTGGATTGTAGGCATGAGTCTTCCTCATTTCTGTGTTCCTTTAGAATCACTTCTTAACTTTTTTAAAAGATTTCTTTAATCATTTATGTGTATGACTATTTTCCCTGCATGTATGTATGTGTACCATGTGTCTACCTGGTAACCAAGGAGGTCAGAAGAATGTATCAGATGTCCTGGAACTAGAATTACAGATAGTTCCAAGACTCCATGTGGGTGCTGGGAATTGAACTCAGGTCTTCAGCAAGAGAGATGAGGTGCTCCTAACTGCTGATCCATCTCTATGGCTCTAGATGTTTTCATAATTTCTGGTGATCTTTTGGATCCTTGGTTGTGATCTTACATGGTCATAATTTTTGGTGATCTTTTGGATCCTTGGTTGTGATCCTATATGGTATAGTGAAGCTTCTCAAAAAGCAGGATGTTAACTGTCATGTACAGTTTAATAATGAAAATGGGAATGTATTTTTATTTGATAAGGAGTTTTACATTCGCCAAAAAATTGTATTTTTTTAAGTGAAGTGTTTATCAATAAAATATAAATCAGGTGGCAGAGAGGGCTGACGAGCCTCTTCGATGTAATATGAGTCAGCCAAGATTGTGTTTTTGACAAAATTCTTTTAATAGGTGTTTTTAGGATTCTAAGTGGGAAAATTTATTGAAAGACTCTTAAGACATTACTGAAGCAGAACATTTACAGAGGCTCTTGAAATGTAAATTTATAGGTAGCACAACCAATCAAAATGCAGAGTAAGTTGTGCAGTGCAGTCCAAGTGGATACCTACAAAATACTTCCCCACCTAAGGCTCAGGAAACACTGTGGAAGAGGGGCTGGAAAGGTTTTAAGAGCCAGAGGATCAGCAAGTTTGCTGTGAGATGATGTCTTATAGAAATGCCAGAAGCCATACCTGTAAATGCTCTTCTTGTGACCATCCAAACATGAACAAGGATGATGCTACTGAACATATCAAACTGGACAGGGTAAAGCCCACGAGGCCTCAACCTTATAAAAAGAACTACAAGCAACTGAGTAAAGCTGGGAGTGGGAGAGGTGGTCCTTCCTAAGAAAGAGCACACCAGTTGGTTGTCCAGTGCGAAATGGTCTGACTGTGAAATGGTCTGACCTGAAAACTTACATACAAGTTAAGGAGGATAAAGAAGGCTATGAATTTGAAGGAGAGTTGGGTGGGATATATGGGAGGGTCTAGACAGAGGAAACAGAATGAAGAAATGCAGTTAAATTAAAATCTAAAAATTAAATAAATAATAATAAATATATATCCACTCATTTGTTCATTTAATCATCTTGCACTTCCCAGAAGTTTCTGATCTGACTTCTTACTGGAAGGACCTAGCTCTACTAGTCCCAGGCCTTTTTCTTGTTGCTGTTGGCTTCCAATTCTGAACCTGTGCCCTAGAAAAGTTGTCAAAACCTGACAATAAATATATGCTGGGTATGGAGTCAAGTCACTTCTTGACATATATTCTGAAGTCAAGTCTAGAGACTGGGCTGCAAGTACCTTAGCTTTCTTAGTTGCTAGGGTAGCAAGGAACCCAGCTTGGTGCATAAATTATGGCACCCAAGAATAGAGCAGTAATAGTGGTAACAATAGAGGACTATTAAATAGCAGAGAAACACTTAAAGAAATGCTCAACATCCTTAGTCATTAGGGAAATGCAAATCAAAATGACCCTGAGATTTTACCTTACACCAACCAGAATGGCTAAGATAAAAAACTCAAGTGACAACACATGCTGGAGAGGATGTGGAGAAAGGGGAACCCTCCTCCATTGCTGGTGGGAATGTAAACTTGTACAACCACTTTGGAAATCAACCTAGTGCTTTCTCAGACAATTAGGAATAGTGTTACCTCAAGATCCAGCTATACCATTCCTAGGCATATATCCAAAATATGCCCAAGTATACAACAAGGACAATTCCTTAACCATGTTTGTAGCAGCTTTATTTGTAATAGCCAGAAGCTGGAAACAACACAGATGTTCCTCAGTTGAGGAATGGATGCAAAAATTGTGTTACATTTGGAATACTACTCAGCAATTAAAAACAAGGAAATCATGAAATTTGCAGGCAAATGGTGGGAACTAGAAAAGATCATCTTGAGTCAGGTATCCCAGAAGCAGAAAGACAAACAGAGTATATACTTACTCCTAAGTGGATATTAGACACATAATATAGGATAAACATACTAAAATTTGTACACCTAAAATAGCTAATTAAGAAGGAGGGCTCTGGGTAAGATGCTCAGTCCTCATTCAGAAAGGCAAAGAGGATAGACATCGGAGGAGGGAGAAATTAGGGAACAGGACAGGAGCCTACCACAGAGGGCCTCTGAAAGGCTCTACCCTGCAGAGTATCAAAGTAGATGCTGAGACTTATAGCCAAACTTTGGGCAGAGTGCAAGGAATCTTATGAAAGTAGGGGGAGATAGCAAGACCTGGAGAGGACAGGAGCTCCACAAGGAGAGCAACAGAACCATAAATTCTAGTCACAGGGGTCTTTTCTGAGACTGATACTCCAACCAAGGACCATTCATGGAGATAATCTAGAACCACTGCACAGATGTAGCCCATGGCAGTTCAGTGTCCAAGTAGGTTCCCTAGTAATGGGAATAGGGACTGTCTCTGACATGAACTGATTGGCCTGCTCTTTGATCACCTCCCCCTCAGGGGGGTGCATCCTTACCAGGCCACAGAGGAAGACAATGCAGCCAGTACTGATGAGACCTGATAGTTTAGGAACAGAAGGAAGGGGAAGAGTACCTTAGGGAAGTGGACTGGTGGCAGGGCATGGGTAGAGAAGAGGGAGGGAGAGTGGGATTGGGAGGGAAGAGAGAGGGAGATACAGGTGGGATACAAAGTGAATAAACTGTAATTAATAAAAATAAATAAAATAAAAATATTTTAAAAAGAGTGGTAACAAACTTCTAAATTGATATTCTTGAAAAAGAGTTGGAGACATTTAAATTTTAAAATGAGCAAAGTTTATAGCTGATTCTAGGAGTTGGTGGGCATAGACATGTGAGTCTGCTCTTATTAGCATAAATTCAGTGTTGCTGAAAGCACTGAAGGAATGAGTGATGCTCACATACAGATATGCCCATTCACTCTTCAGTAATGAAATGCTTCGTAAAGTAGCCAAATATGCATTCGAGCCTGTGTTTCTATTTAGAACTTATGTGCATTTGTCAGCTTTTATATCTGTGAAAAAAAAGTAGAGGAAATTAGTGTATAGGAAGGAAGTTTATGTTGAATTGCACTGCCAGATGATTCTGTGAATGGCCTGTGGGCGGCAGTGCAGAACATCATGGTAGAGCAAAACTGCTCACATCTTGGCAGCCAGAAAGGGAGGAAGAGGAAGAAAATGGAAGCGATGTGGGGAAGGTCCAGGAGCAAGGTACACTTCTCAAGGGTGTACTTCCTCCAGCTGGTCCTGCTTCCTAGACTTCCATCACTTACACATAGCCTGTCTAATGGAATTAAGTAATGGAGGAACTCATTGATGAAGTCAATCTTCACTAATTGATCTTACTTACTGGGTTCCCAACTTCAGATCTTGCAGGGGGAGCTGGCTTTTAACTCATCATTCTTTGTCATTTTAGATTCAAATTTTAACATTATGCTATGCAATATAGATTTCACTTCAAGGTTTTTTGTAATATTTTCTCAAATATTCAAGACTGTACGTAAATATGTATACAGATATGTACATCTATGCATATATGTGGATGCATGCATCATTCAGTCATGCTTGCTGTTAGAAGGAGAATATTAAACACAAGAGTCCGATAACCATAGGTTGTCTAGGGAGAAGGGGTGGCCCGCGAGTTTGGGAATTTCAGTGGTTTGAGATATTTTACGTTCTATTCTTTTCTGTTAGAATTGTTTTGAGCTATACTTTATTTTTCTATTAGTCAAAGGTAAAGAAAGAATATATGAGGTTTTATATGCATTTTTATTAATATTTTAAACATATGACTTGTTTGAAGGCTTAGCCCATCTATCTGGAAAAGAGATTTTTACAGATGTTTTATATGAATGTTTTGAGTTTTGCATGATTTTTTTGTTTGCTGCTTTGATAATGAAAAGCACTAATAAGACACATCATTAGTGTGATATGGGACATGGGCATATAGTGTATAAGTGCTTTAGCCCATTGCCAGGAAATCGGGTTTATGCTAGACAGAGAACTTAGGGGCACTAAGTTCCAATTTCTAATGCTGTGTCGGTGAGCAATAGAACTCACAATTAATTTCTTCACTGTTACAGAAAAGCTCAAGAGGAGAATAAGAAGGTTGTCCTAGCTGGCTGTGTTCCCCAAGCCCAGCCTCGTCAGGACTACCTCAAAGGACTGAGCATCATAGGGGTAAGATAGTGAAATAGAATGTCATGTCCTGTTCTTACCTCAGTTTACTCCCGCTTTCTGGTTAACTTAGGACTTTTCCCAACAGTCTTTATCTCCTCTGAAACTTTGTCCTGTATGTGTAACTTTTCACCTCAACACACACAGATACACAGACAGACCAACAGAGACACACACACACACACACACACACACCCCATATTGTAGGTTCTCTCACTAAGAAACTAGCACTGTAAAAAGCTACGTTATGGGGTTTACGCCTTGTAATGGCCTGATCTTTGTCTACTGTCATTGTTCTCCAGATAATCTCACATTTCCCACCTTCCTGAGCTTCCTGCCTGTCCTCCCAGTACATAAATGTGTTTCTTGAATGCTCTTCTTGTGTTCTCTTCACCTCTAGGTCTCAGCTTCAGTGCACCATGATGTGTGCCTGTCACTGTGTCTGTCGTAGCACAGGGTTAGGATTTTAGGTTTAGACATGTGATTGTACACTTCAGTGATTTTTTTTTTTCTTCTTCCAGAAAGCCCATAGCTCCAATATAATTATTCACACCAGGACAAACTTTTTTTTTATTACTTTAGAAACTTGTGTGTTTCTCCAGCTTTTTCCACTCATGCACACAAAAATGTTCTCATTAAATGGTCATTGACTATTTTGACTTCCTTCCTTCCTTCCTTCCTTCCTTCCTTCCTTCCTTCCTTCCTTTTTTTTTTTTTTTTTAGTTTTGTTCTTAGTGTTTAACTGTTGGGCAGTCAGATCTGAGAAGTCCAGAGACTGTCTGCTTAGTTCACAAAATTACTGTGGGTCATGACCCCAGAGTCATACAAATGAACGGGATGGGAAGGGTCAGGGAACATTTGGCAACTGAGAAACATTTTTGAATGTCCAACAACTAAAAATAGATTCAAGTCTCAGAGTCGCTAATCTGCAGTGTTTCTGGCAGGGTTTGCCTGTGTTGTGTCACGTGACTTCACCATAGCATTGTTCCTGGACGCGGCTGTGCACTTTGTGCTGAGCGTGCTGTCAGGTCCTACAGCCCCACAGCCCACAAGCCTCTGCCCGAAGTGCCTCAGCTCAGATTCCTCACTGTGCATGCTGTGAACTACAGTGATTTTGAACTATGCATGTTGTGAACTGCTTTGCTCTTGCTGTACATACCAAGCTTTCTGCTCCCCTAGAAATGTAATAGTTGAATTACGGAAAACAAAAAGACTTGTCATTTTCCTACTGTCATTTTTCAGTATCTGTCGAATCAGTATATCTTTGGATTGTGTGGTTTTAGAGGAGCAAGCCCTTCTATCTCATTAGTATCCAAATTTTCTGTTATTTAAATAAATGGTAAAATTATATACTGGTGAAGTATTTTATAATAAATTTCTTTATGATTTATTATCAGCAAATATTTGATTTACATGCCTATTTTATAATGTATCTTTTAAAATTTATTATTATTATCATTTATTACAGTTTATTCAATTTGTATTCTGGCTGTGGCTCCTTCCCTCGTCTCCTTCCAGTCCCATTCTCCCTTCCTCTTCTCCTCCTATGCCCCTCCCCTAGTCCACTGATAGGGGACGTCCTCCTCCCCTTCTATTTGACCCTAGCCTATCAGGTCTCATTGGGACTTGTCTCCCTCTCTCGCCTGGTAAGGTATCTTTATCCTCAGATTTAGATAAAAATTTTTTAGGCTAAAAGGAGTCACAGTGGAAAATGTGTGAAAAGCTTCCTTGAGAGTACAGTTGCCACAAGGTGGTTATTTTTTCTTCCCACCATTCTACTCAAGATCTGCTCAGGTTTTTTCCTTAAAATAATTATTTTGAATTATCTTGAAAATAAAACATTATTTTATATAAGGGCAGGTGAGTTGGCCCAGTGGATAGGGGTGCTTGCTGCCAATCCTAATGTCCTGAGCTTGATCCTTTTAGGGATCAAGTATTGACTAGCATGCAACCAGAAATCATAGAATTATTAAACAATGTTGGCTTTATCTTCTACCCACTGACTTCTCTAGTTGGCTGTCTAGGAAAAAGATACCCTAAACGCATGCCGGCGCAGGACCTCTGACAGTGGTGTGCCTTCCACCTGGTCCCTTGGGGACACAGGTGTGTGGACTTCCTTTCTAGCCCAAGTGGCCAGTTGTCTTTGAGGTGTTGATTGGCCTCTAACAGCTGACCTGCACAGTGGACCGCTGACTTCCAATTCCTTAAACCTGCCGCGTCCATATGGCTCCTTCACTTCAGGCTGAAATTAAGCCTTCAAGGTTTCTGCTGCGTATGTAGTGACCACAGGTGGTTGGTACCCGACGCTGTGGACTGCGCAGCTGTGAATGTCTCCACCCCTGCGGAAAGTTCTACTCTCAACAGTTGGGAGATGTGAGAACAGCATTTTCATTTGCTTTAGGTGCCAGAATGTTGCTTTGTTTCCTCTCTGCATGTTTAGTTATGAATCTGAAGTGTTTTCTTAGAGCAGGAAAAAAAATATTTTTATGGGCTCTTTGAAAGTCCTTCATCAGGATGACTCATTAATGTTATTTATGAATTGTTTGCTCACCAACACCTTTCTTTCTTGTTGAGAACATATGGAGTTAGTAAGGGAACATGCTGCAGTATTTTTCCCCTCTATATTTATAATCAAGTTCCCAAAGGGCATAAGATACTGTTTTATTTATTTTATTTGAATTATATGCTGTTGAATAAGCTTTTGTGTATACAGGGCTGCAATTTATGGTGCTGAGAATAGCTTTCCTCTTCTCCCAATGAAAATTCAGTCTATTGTGGCCTCTTCGAGGGGAGTTTGGCTCTGTTTTTGTTTATGGTATTTTCTCTGTCCCCTCCCACACTGTACTGATTTTGGCTTAACTTCTTTCCCTTCTCACTTCTGCTTGTTGTTGTGGTCCCTCTTTCTCTCTACTTTTCCTCCTTCTTTTCTTCACTGTCCTTAACCCTGTAAGTGGACACAATAGTTTTCCCAGATTACATGAGGACTTCATTGCTGCCTGTTTGTAATCAGGTGAAAATAATTTTCTTTTTCTGTTTTCATGCACATTTCTTTGTGGCCTTTTGTCTTTTAGGGACTCAAGAGTCCCCTGATGTCCAGTTGCCTAGTGATCTGTATGCTTTCCTCAGTTGTTATTTTTTTTCTTTAATGACCTTCAGAGTAGAACATTTGGCAAATTTCATCTTTTTTATTTTTAGATATAATTTTTTTTGAGATACAAGTCATGCAGCACACAATGCTTCCAATTGCAGTGTGTAGTCCTGTGGTTTGTAGTTTATTCAGAGTGTGAGACCATCTCCACAGACACTGAACACTCTTTACTCCTGGAAGAAACACCGGGCTCCTACTGCATCTGCCTGTTTCTCCTTCGGCTCAGCCATGGGCAGTCACTGACTTGCTGCCCCCTGATGTTTTCTGTTGTGGACATTTCATCTAACGGGTTTGTATGGTACAAGGATCACCCAGATTTCTCACTCTGTATAGTTATGTCATATGTTTCATTTCTTCTATCCTTTTTATGACTTAATGTTCCATTAACAGTTGGTGGATATTTGATTTCACACCCTTTGGACATTATGAATGTTGCACAGTTTATTGGTGTGTGTAGGTTTCACTCTGTTGATTAGATTATACTGGATTATACAACTATGTTCAACCCTTTGAGGGAATGTCACACTGTATTCCAAGCAGCAGCAGGTGTCACTGCTTGTATCATGGCTATCAAACAGGCTCCATATGCTGGGACCCACAGCCCTGTGTGGACGACTGTTTCACTTCTCTGGTGGCTAGTGTTAAAACTCTCAGGTCTTTAAGGCTTGGCAGCTCCTTGGAACTTTTTTTACTGGTGGAGGTCAGAACATTGCTCTCTCTGTCCTTCTTCCATCTTGGCTTGCTGCTTTTTCTTGCCTTCTCTCTCCTTTGGTAGTTTTTATTTTCATTCTCATTCTCATTCTCTCTCTCTCTCTCTCTCTCTCTCTCTCTCTCTCTCTCCTTGATTCTTTCTGGTTACTGCTTTGGTCACTTTCTATAGCTCTTCAGCTCTTTTCCCATTGCTGTTACTCCTGCTGCCATGAGGGTGATAGTTGGTACTTTGCTGAGGCTCCACACTACCGCTCTGTCTGTGGATGATAAAGATAAAAGTAGACAAAAAACATAGTGGAAGAAGCCTTTCATTAAGGCTAATGTATCTGGGAGCAGCACAATGGGAGCTTCCTGACCATCATGAAGGGTAAGCTGCTTATATATCCTGAAGTGATAGGGCATGGGTATTTGTACAGCCATGGCTCAGTCATTCACAGAAATTAACGTCTGTGTTTATACCAATCACAGACCTTCCGCTGGACCAGCACGGGATATGCTAGGTGAAAGTGGTTGCTAGATTTGAACCTTTTGATGGGGAGAGGTTTAGTGTGAGTTGGTTGAAACAGTCATGTCCGGGGCTATGCCCTCTGGAGCTGGAGTTGTGCTTTGGTATTAAGCAGATGTGGTTGCTGTGTATTATCTTTAAGGCCTCAGTGTTCTCAATAGTTAGTGGTCATGCTGGCTGCTTGGCTCAATGCAGTCAAGGCAAAAGGGAAGGATCTAACTTGTTTATTAGTGTGGAGGCCTCCATTATCTTAGCTTAAAGGAAAAACAAACACGGAGCAGGTTCTATAAGAGATGCTTAACATATTAACATTAATTTAAAAGTAGCCAACAATACTTTAACAATGCTTAATTCTTGCCTCAGTGTCCCAGAGAGATATGCATCCTTCTAATCTGCCTCAACCCCCCCATTAATCCAAGGTTCTCATGGGCTTATGGTTCTGTTTTCCTTACTAGGGTTCATAGTTTAGCTTCTCGACTTTGTACTGGGTGTTCAATATGCTACACTCTTCTGCTCCTTTGTGAAATGGTAGCTTCTGGCTGAACCTTTCTATTTCTAAGCATATAAGAAAATATTATTGTTCTGGCTACAGCACTGAGTTATTTTATATCTTTCTCATTGTGTTCACTATCTGCTGTTCTCAACCAGTACCTTGGTTATTCATCTATATACTGTACGCAATTTAGCCAATTACTTCTGTCCAAATCCCAGGCAATCCAAGTCACTGTATGTTGTGACTTACACTTACCCAAACTTGCACTTCCTTCTGTGTCAGCTCCAGTGGGAATCACCTGAATGCTGTTTCAGCACCCTGTTTCTATAAGCAGATACTGGCCCTCACTTTTCTTCACAGGTACTGAATAGCTGAGCCCACACTAATTAAAACCTCTTATATTTTTCCTTCTCTCCCTCCTTTCCCCTACACATGGGCTCTACTTATTCATGAGTTTTTCAGGCTTCATCTGAGCTCCAATGCATAGTCAACTATTTTCTTCCATTTCTTTCTAGTCTGTGCCACAAATCTCTCCATGCAGTATCATCTCCATTCCTTTGGTTCATTGTGGCGTGTGTTAGACACTTGGCGCATGCCAACTGACTGAGGGTGGAGTGAATAAACCTTGAGTCAGTCACTTTCCCTTGAGAAAACTTCATCTGCTTGTGAAGTCTCTATAAGAAATAATCTCCAATTTCAACTGAGAATTTTTACATGTTCACATGTTCTTTCTCTTCCTTCATTCTTATCATCTTATCTTTCTTACTATTAGTAGGTGACCCTTTACTTTATTGAAAAACATGGAGGCCAGGGGATGAATTTGCATCTCGTGTGCCCTCTGCCTGCTCTGCTTGTCATGCTTCCTCCTCATCTTTGATTCAATGGGATTTACATTCTAGTCTTTTTTTTTTTCTTTTTTCTTTTTTTGGAAGCATACTGATTTTATTCTCATTTCTGAATTTTCAGACCTTCGATTACATGCTGCATGAACTTGTCACTGCTTCAATTCACTTTTACATTTTTTTCATCATTTATTTTATTTCCATTCCAGTCTTGTTTCCCATCTTTCCCTCTCTTCCTCCTCTCTTTCCCTCTCCCTTCCTTCTTTCCCTCCCTCCCTCTTTTCCTCTCCCATCTCTTTCCCCTTCCCCAGTCCTCTCCTATTTTCTCTTTGCCTCCAATTTTCTCAGGTTTATAATTAAAGTCCTATTCTCCAAAATAATGAATTTCATTGTGACATTTTCTTACTTGAATATGATATACTTTGATCATATTAATCCTGCTAGTACCCTCCTTCCATAACCCTGTCCTGTTCTTTAATAGGTCCTGGGTTTTATGAAAGTCTATATTGTGGAGCTCATGGGCTGTGCTTCCAGGAGAATTGGCATGTGATTAGCAAGATAGAGTATGTTCAAACTCTGGAAATCTCAAATTTGAGATTTAAATTTTCATTCTGAGAATAGAAGGTGTGGGACAAAGCTCTGCTCTTGTTTCCTGCCTGTCTAAGTAACACATGGCACAACCCCCAGGTGGCCACAGGTGGTCAGTCACATGAGCTTGTCACCTGTTATCTTTCCCCATGTAAATAGAGCATTGCCAGAGCCCTAAGTCACATTCATCCTTAAAGCCCCTCCCCACTGTCCAAGGTTTGTACAATCCCCATTTCACATGAAATAAAATGGTGAGCACCATCTACTTCCCGAGAAACAAGTCTGAGACTGGCCATTTATTCTGAGCTGTAGCCCTCAGTAAAGAAGGGTCTCCCTTCCTCCCTGAAGAATTCTTTGCTGCACCCATTGACTGCTGGCCAGGCAGTCTGCAGAACTGCTGTAGTCACTGGTAGAGCTCTCTGGGCTACCATAGCTTCTGCTGCTTCTCACTGCCTGCTGTAGTGTCAGTCTGCAGGAACAAGCTGCTGGCTGCTCCTGAAGCAGCCTCCCAATTTGTCTGCATCAGGTCAGGCCTCTGCTGCTGCCTGACTTGCCTGTAGGAGCCCTGAGCTTCCCTCTGCCACCTGTCCTGGTGCTGGCAGCCCAGCTGAAAGAACAGTGATACTTATTACAGAGACAACCTCTTTCTCCCAAACTCTTGCCAGTACCAGAGAGATACTGTGACATGGAGTAAGTTCCGTACTCACTCGCTCACTTACTCAAGACCCTTGCACTTCATCCTTTTCCGCCCAGAGACTGCTGGCACACCTACCTTCTGGTAGCAAAGTGCATACTTCTGGTTTGGTGCCCAAGTTGCGTTTGTTGGCCCTTCCAGAAGACACCGAACCACTTACATTTTGGCTTTTATGTTCTCAACCTCTTTGTTTTTTTTTTTTTTAATTATTTGTTCTTTTTTTATACATTTATTTATCACCCTTTTCTCCTTGCATTTATATTGTTAAGAAATAGTTACTCAGACCTAGGCTGAAGTACATGAGTTGTTGTTGTTACATTATCTGTTTCTTTCCTTGTGGCTTGTTACCACTGCAGTTACAAGGCGCTCATCACGGCCTGCATGGTCTGTATTGTCAACATAGGCTGATCCAACCTGAGAGCAGCAGAGGCAGTGCACGGCTCGGTTGTACACCTCTTTATTTTTGTGTGTGAGACATTGAGGTCAAAGAAATATTTTTTCTGAGCCTCCATATGTATTTTTTTTTTTTAAAGATTCATTTATTATTTATACCGCATTCTGGCTGCATGTGAGAAGAGGTCACCAGATCTCATTTTAGATGGTTGTGAGTCAACAGGTGGTTGCTGAGAATTGAACTCAGGACCTTTGGAAGAACAGCCAGTGTTCTTAACCTCTGAGGCACCTCTGCTCGTATGTATTTCTAACACATCCCATGTAAAAGGTTCTTCTCACCCCAGTTTAGGTCTATCACATCACTGTGGTATGATAGTGCTGTTCTTTTATCATTAGGGCATAGATAAATGCATATGGGCCCTTTGGTGAACAGGATACTGGTCAGCTGGGAGATGAGCACAGTAGACTAGATGCTTAGATGATGTATACACGTACACTGGCATCTTGATTTTTACCTCTCCTACGGATTGTAAAAATGAAAATGACCACAGAGAAAACACACACACACACACACACACACACACACACACACACACACACACA